TAATATAGGTCCTCTGTGACACTGTGCTCAGTTTTTATGACGCTAATGAAACAGGCCACCTGGAGGTATAAATGAAACCTATATATTAGAAAGAAATCTGCTTCCTGTAGTTAGAAAATATTGTATTGTGGTAGTATTATGGCTTAGGAAGGTGTTTCAGTTATTGGTACAAAAAAACAGGACTTCAGCTGTGCTGCAAGTAGGAAAAAATGTATACATGACAAACAGTGGTTTTCTACACTAATTTTGTCTAGAGTTGAAGTTCTATATTCTGCCTTGTGTTGCCATTGCCTTGGATTGTGTTGAATACATGGGAGAAGGTCAAACTGAGGATTTCACGCCCTCCTCACTTTTGTTACCAAGTTTTGCCGATCTTCTGTGCCCTGTGGCATGAGTGTGGCAGGAGGGTGAGCCCATGCTTCAGAAGCAGCTCAGGTTCCTCCCCTCTCTCTTTCAGACTACAGACAACTCTTTGACAAAAGCTCTTTGTTTTCAGTGTATATCCAGCCAGATATAGTCAGCAAAGAAAGAAGATCTGCACATGCACAGAACAGTTTGTTGAACCCAAACTAGAAACAATTTCCAAGAAACCTCCTTTTGAACAAACCTGGATCCCACCCCTCTGGACCTGCCCCTCTGGGGACAGGCAAGCATCCTGGCTGCATGCAGGCTCTCTAGTTGGCTACTGCTTCTCTCCTGATGCTGTGTCATGGGGTCAAGGATCGGACCAGACTCCTCCGGCTCTTCTCTCATGTCTCCACTGAGCACTTTCAGACCTTGTTGATTTGCTTGAACAACTGGAGACTGCAACCTTGAGAAACTCTCCTTCTCCTTCCATCTCTGGGTCTGCAGGCCTTTCTTCCCAGGCCTCATCCTGGCCCTGAAATGCATGCCAAAACCAACCCCCTCTTTCATTCCCAACAGGTAGGTTTCATGCCTTACATAACAACCATGGACTTGTTTCTGCTAGTATGTGGCACAACATAGATGGCAGGGTGCACTCTTAATTTGCTTGTGGTAAGCCAAGGAGAAAGTGACCTGGGTAGAGGAGTTTCCTAGAACTCCATGGGCAGCGCATTGCCTAATGGTGTAAGAATTGCTCTTGGATGCTTGAGCCCGAGCTTTCAAAATGGTCCCTTCTTAGAGACTGATGGATCTAAGAGCATTCCTTGACACTTTGAGGGATCCCCCAGCTCCTAGCCCTAGCAGTCCTTTTGGAGCTGCACTTGATCTGTGAAATGGTAGATGCCTCAGCCGGTTGACACAGTCTTTCCAAAATACCCTGTCCTGTGGTTCTCAGTCACCTCGATTTTCTCAGTGTTGGGTGACAAAGCATATAGGTAGATGGCTTGAGCATAAGGGAGGGAGACTTGGGACAGACCTGACCAAACACAGGATTGTTGTTGTTGTGTGGATAAAGTGAAGCTATGTAAATTGCTTTGGGTTCTTCAGGAGAAGAAAAAATGGGATGTAAGCGCAATGTAGTCATGGTAGGGACAGAGCCTGTTGTAAGGCCTAATCCATGTTGGTGATGGCACTGAAGGAATTGTTTTCCTTTTCCACCATCCCACCTGTATAGTGTCATCTACTGTTCCTCTGCAGGTGGTTATTGCCCATGCAGGAACAGATGAGCAAAAGTGGGCATGCGGTCTTTCAGAGACTTCTATCCGCCATTGGTGATCTTCTCATCGAGGAGCCCCTGAAAAGAACAGCAGCCTTTTCCAGAGCAGAGTTTGAAAATCACTGCTGTGTGTGGTGTTTAGCACTTTTGATCACAAAGCTTTCACCCTGTTGCTTAGTGGAGGGTGAAACCTACCTGTATCTAAAGATTTAAAAATTTGGTATTGCTCCCTATGGAGCAGGAGGAAAGGTCTGACGTGACTCCTAATTGCGTGAAACCATTTTTCACTCTCTCTGTACACCCGTTTGCTGCCACTGTTAAGATACACGGTTTCATGTTACAAAAGCTGCCAGCATCCTTTACCGTCATTCCAGTTTCCCCCCTTCTAACTGTTGCATTTCTCTCATCACACCTGTGTGATTGTCGCACCTACACTGCAGAGCCGTGGCCCGTCATCTGGCTTCATCATTTTACTGGTGCCACCGCCCCGTGAATCAGACGGATGGCTCTCATGTCTTCTAGAGTCAAGCTGCCGTGTTTGTGAGGCACACATTTTGCACTGCAGGCCAATTGTGTGGGCTGCCAAAAGCGCCCCGAGTTCCACTAAGAAGCATCTCTGAATAGCTGTAGAGGGAGAATTCAGTATTGTTTTGTGGCACTGTTTCAAAATTAATCTTAGAAGTGCATTTCAATTCCTTAAGAAGGGGGAACTATCCAAGTTATGTGAGAGGTGTGGGGAAGCCTTGGCCTTGATTGATTGATTTCTGGTGCAGCACAAGTCTACTTGATAAGGCAGTATATGGAGAGAAGAAGAGACAATCAAACAAGATAGGCATGAGTGTTACTTAAATTACTGTCCAATTGTCCTCAACATTGATAGCATTAATTTCTCACACATTGGCCCTTCCTGTTTTCTTAATGCGCTGTGGAACTAGGCCCAATCAAACTAAGAGTGTGCCAGGAGAAACTATTTATGATAGTTAAGTTTGCTTTGCTTAAATCTGGTATTTGTGTTGATATCCAGTCCAGGTCTATGGATGAGCAAGTACCAGAGGATTATTCTGGAGTGTAGCCTGATCAGTACTTTGGGTCTAAAGCTAGTCATTGTGCTGCTTAGAAATTGCACCCTTTGACTTTGAAGATCGTTTCCAGACGCTCAAACCAGAACTTGTCCTGGTTCTGTAGTGGTGCAAAAACTGCATTCTGTCTCTGCCACCCTTTATTATTGCTGTTTATACTGTCCTTTGTTGACAAAAGACCTACAGGTCCCAGCATTTACTACCTAGGCATGCTAGCTGGGGGATGCTGGGAGTTGCTGGAACTTTTCCTGTCTAAGCGTGCATAAGATTGCACGTTTCAGATGTGGTTTGCTCAATATATGGGTCCTGCTTAATCTCTGTGATCCATTCTGTCTCCTCCATTCTGCATATTTAAAACAGTACATGCTATGACTTCATTCAATGGATCATAGAATGGCCAGGCCTGGTTGCTATGTTCTTATAGGATAGCTTGATAATCAGTAGGATGTTGACATGATGGAAAGATTGCTCCACTCTCTTGGTTCATGGTTCTTTTGCCCCAAATATTGTTTGTGTGTTTTTCTTTCCCATGTCTACTGCCCAATATCCAGAGTGCTCTGGGTGTGAATGAGCCTGATTATAAGGTAAGCTTAAAATTTATTCATCCGTCAGTCACAACAGGTTCAATTGATGCAGCCAAAATAGGTCAAACACCATACCAAGAACTTTCACTGTGCTTTCCTGCAAAAGATTATATTCCATGAAGGCAAGTCACAGAGGAATTGTTGGGTGAAGAGGTATCAAAGATGGATGTGTGAATGAACTTTGACTGATGCTTGGCATTATGTATCTAAAAGGAAGTGTTGTTCTCCCTTAAGAACTTCTGGGGTATTTAGCAAGCTATCATCTTATGGGTGAAACAGCAGCGTCACTGATGTACTGTATGCCACTTCCTTTAGAAGCACAGGCTCCGTTTACTACACCACAGCACAATTCTTTTGTTGCTGGTGGAATTCTCTAGCACGTGAGCTGCTGAACAGCTTCTGAGTTGTGGTTGCTCTTCAGGGGAAGACAGTATTTGTGAGAACAGCTGCTGACACCCAAAGGAAGCGATTGCTCTGGTCAATGTTTGTAGGCACACCATGAATCTAAAAGATCCTAACGTAGGTGATGGAGCCTGTAGTTGTTTGAGAGACAGGCCAAAAAAGTCTAGTTGTTTGAGAGACAGGCCTGACCTGCGGCAGAAAATGCTACCAACTCACCAGGGTCGTCGTCCTCCTCCTCCTCCATCATATTATTATTACTCCTTTACTTAGTATATGATGATGGGTCAATTAGCTAAGCATCTACAGTGCTAATACAGAGTAGATGCTTGGCTGCTTGCAATTGCTAGTTTGTTCTGTTCATTTTTGCACGCTTATCCAGTGTGCACTGCAGAGGGTGAACCAGCTCCACGCACATGCAGACCAGCTGGAGTTCGGGTTGTCAGCTCATCCGGGCTTCTTCCATCAATGCACCTTGCCTCACACCTGGGCAGGTCCAGCATCAGCTCCTGCTCTCCTCCCAAACGCAGCTAGCTTTTCCCACCCATTTATCTACCCTCAGTATTACGTACATGCTTTTGAACGGCTGGTTGGGCAGGAGCTAGAGGCGAACGACGGGATCTCACACCATCATGTGTGCTGGGCTCAGACCACCGGAGTGCCGTCCATTTCTGGTCGGCGCATCCAGCATCATTAAGCCGCTGCACCATGCGCCTCCTCAGGCCAGGGCACTTCCAGTTACCCACGCAGACCTTGAACAATTCCTTATTGCCCTGGCCCCTCCATGCATTGCCTTCATGCTGTCAGGATGTCAACTGAGCTCCTCAGGGAAGAGTCCTGTCTGTTTAAGTGCTCTGGAAGACAGCCTCGTGTGCTGATGGAACAACAACAATCACAACATTGATTGCTGCATTAAATAATGGATGAACCATGAGAGTTTTAAAACGGTGTATCTTTTTGCTTTTAGAAAATTATTAATTTGATTTAGTGTGTGTGTGTGCACACGTACGCTTATGCATCTACATGTCTGCATTTGTCATGTCAGGCTTCACTTAGAGCATTCCCATCTGTCTCAAGGAAGGGAATGCCTCTTCTGAAACGGCACCTTCCACCTGCAGTTTTTAATATCCCAATAATTCCCTGCCCTGCCTTTCCTCCCTTGAAATTAGGCCTGTTCTTACCACCTGCACTCTCACCCCGCAGCCCTTTCCCCATGCAGAGAAGCCCTGCCTCAGCTTGCATAGAGGACGGCACCAGACAAATCTGTGAGGCGGGAGCATGGCTTGTATTCAGGCTTCTCACTTGCTTTCATTCCAGCTTCATCGATCCTGAAGAGAGAGAAACGGAAGCGGACGAAGAATGTCCATTTTAACTGTGTTACGGTGTACTACTTTACGAGACGGCAGGGCTTCACGAGCGTCCCTAGCCAAGGAGGCAGCACCCTGGGCATGTCCACGCGTCACAACAGTGTGCGCCAGTATTCCCTTGGAGAGTTTGCCATGGAGCAAGAAAGGCTCCATCGAGAGATGCTGCGGGAGCATCTGCGAGAGGAGAAGCTGAACTCGTTAAAACTCAAGGTAAAGACACGGCTCAGGATCCCTGTGTCAGCTGCGGCCTGGGCAGGGAGCATTAACAGTGCCATTGGCACCCAGCAGCCTTGGCAAGGCTGCATCTCCACTTCTGATATGGCCGCAGTCCCATTGTCCAAACAAGCTGGCGCCTTTCCTGCTTCTCACATTAACTCATCAGATTGTTAATCGGCTTCCACCTGAGCTCTTTAAGGCGATAGCCTCTGTCCTGCTATGGCAGCAATTCATTAAACCCCATCCACATTCCCGCTTCGGTCGGGATTCAAATGTGGTTTAGCAAGCTGCTGGGCGTGGTGGTTTCTGCACAAGCGATTTGGGGCAGAGGGGAAGGAAGTGCTTTCCGTCCCTTCAGATCAGTGGCACTTGGGGGCAGCCTGCTGCTGAGGAAATACAGTGGCCAATTGTACGTGTTCTGCATGAAGCCGAGTTGCAGAAAACCCTGAAGTGGGCTTGCTCCTGTCTGTTTTTACCAGGGTCCCTTCCCACCCTCTAGGAGGTTATGAGTAATGGACATCCCTCCATGTGGGGGAGATACTGTTGTCTGGATGGACCTCCATCACCTGTGTTCCTGTAGTCTATTGTTTTGCAGGCCCAGGTTAGTGGCAAAGGCCTAGAGGCAAGTCACATGCACCAGGGTGCAGAACTTCAGGCCAGGCTGTCAGGCTGCTTCTCCAGGGGTCCCTGGACAGCTCTCTAGGGCCTTGCCCCTTTCCCTGGTGTTGGCTCTTTCCCTCCACCCAGGTTTGATGATTTCCTGCCTTCTTTGCACCAAACCCCCCATTTTAAAATGTAGAAATACTTACTGGTTTTAAGCTAAATACACTGACATTTTTATCTGCTGCCTCCACTGGAGCCTTGCCCTGAAAGCTGCTCCAGAATGAAGTTTGCTCCTCATGCTAAAAGTAGCTTTGCACTCCTCTCAGGGCTCTGTGGGTCACCAGTGGCTTAAGCCTGGCTTACTCTCATCCTCACATTCTGGAAGAAGGCTAGGCAGTCAGTGGTTCTGTCACCCTCACCAGCATGACTTTGCCAAGAATCCTGACGGTTTGCTTTTCTGAAGTGTCTCTTGTGTGTTTTTGCCCTTACCTGTATGACGCAGGTTCCCTTCTCAGGAATTCCCTGTCGTTTTGTAATTCTGTGCCCTTCTACCCTTCTTTCTGGGCAGGGCTGCATGTCAAGTGATAGATGAGAAATGTAAGCGCAATCCAAGGGGGAAGGCCTTTTCCTCATGTGCTTAATCTGAAAGAGAGGCACAACAGCTGAGCACGAACCAGTCCAGTAGTACTTAAAGCACTGCTCTCAGAAACTGTTTTGAAACAAATCACATCCAAAGTATAATTGAAGCTGGCTATCTGCTCGCTTCACTCAGAAGTAACAGAATCAACCCTACATGGTCTGTATCGCTTGGACCCGCTGCTTTGGCAATGCTGGGAGAAAAGTTGATCAGAAAACAAACTTCCAAGTTGTTTACAGACTATAATCACTTCTCTGCAGCAGACTGTTTGGGAGCGCCCCCTACTGACCATGTAACACATGACACATAGAAAGGAGAGCACCTTTGTGGATGAATCAAAAAATATTTTTACTCAAGTTTCAAACTGTACAGTACTCCTTTCCAGCAAGACAGCTTTCTGCATTCCATTATCCCCACTAGAGGCTGGAGCTCCCAACTAATAAAGCAAGACTAAAGCAGGATAAAGAACCTAGACACCCCTCCCCCCCTGAGGTTATGGAATTCCAAATTCCATCAGCCCCAGTCAGTATGGCCCATTTGGAGGGTTGCATATACCTCACTCTAGGCTAAGGTGTTCGGATCTTAAAGGGGGGAAGTAAACAATAAAGCAAATGTATGATAGAGGTTATATACCTAGGTAATTGTTCTCCCTTTCAGAATAGGAGCTTATACTCCTTTCGGGACCAGGTCAAAACCTTTTTATTTAACTGGTATTTTAAAAACTAGTATTTAATGTAACAGTCACGTTTTATTGTTTATATGTCATTTATTGCTCAGATTGTTTTAATGTATTTCATTTTCTTGACTGTTTTTAATGTATCTGATTTTTATTTATTGTGAGCCATCCCGAGATGCCTTGCATAAGGGACAGCATACAAACGTTTTAAATAAATAAAATAAAAGAACTCCCTCTCCTCCCCAGTGGCACTGATTTGAGAAGAATTCAAGATAGATGAAAGAAAATACTTCTTCAAATGCCTAACTAAAAGAATGCCATCACTTATAGAAATGGCCGTCATCTTGGTTTTAAGCAGGAGCAGGTAGATAGATAAATGGCATGTACATCTCTCAAGCAGTTATTAGCTGTGATAGATAAATAGAACCTTCATGTTCAGAGGCCGTATACCTGAGTGAGGTGCTGCGGGGAAACAACAGGTCAAGCCACCACCTGTATGCACTGCTTGTGAGCATCCTGAGAACATCTGCCTGGCCACAGCTGGCCTGGGTAGATCTTCCTTGTAAGCCAAACAGTAATCTGGCAGGATGTACAAGTGATTTCCTGTTCTCCTCCTGGCACCTGAGTTCAAAGTCTAGACACTGCTAAGCATTAGATTAAATTGGCCCCTGTCTCCAGAAATATGATAATAAGCAAGCAAGGAAGAGACAACCCTGGATAACTTCTTGTACAACTTTCTGTGTGATTCTGGAGATGTCACATCCATTTACCTACCTGCCATGGCCTTCCTTGTGTTAGTTGCATCTAAAATATCTGCAATATGTTAGTGACTTACTTGCATCCACTGAAACTTCATTAGTATTGCTCCAGTGAGTCGCTGTTGTATCTTCAGCTACCTTCAGACAAGGGCATTGATCCCTGCATAAGCATCCCCTGTGAAAAGCAGGAACTTTATTTTGGATTCATCCCAAAAAATAGACTAAAGTCCTGCTGCCACTTAGAATAGACAATATTGGGCTATGTGAGCAGATGGCCTCACACAGTAGAAGGCCACATCCTGTGTTCAAACGTAGCGAAAGAGCAAGAGTTCTTGAAACAAACTAGTCCTTTTAAATATCTCTGTGGGTTCCTGAGCAGCTGAAAGGCAGTTCCACAGAGATCTGCACATTCCCCTTGACTCTGGAGGATGTGGCTGTGTTGCGTTTTTAAATGGTTTCTGAGCCAAGAATGCCTCTTCCCAACAAAGCTCTGACGCCTCTCCCACAACCGTGTCTTACAGATGACTAAAAATGGCACAGTGGAATCAGAGGAAGCAAACACTTTGACGCTCGATGACATTTCTGACGATGATCTAGATCTTGACAACACAGAAGTAGACGAGTACTTCTTTCTACAACCTCTGCCAACCAAGAAGCGAAGGGCGCTGCTGCGGGCCTCTGGCGTCAAGAAGATCGATGTGGAGGAGAAGCACGAGCTGCGAGCCATCCGCCTTTCGAGAGAGGACTGCGGCTGCGACTGCCGAGTCTTCTGTGACCCCGAAACCTGCACTTGCAGCCTTGCAGGCATAAAATGCCAGGTGAGAGCTGGGCTGAGATACTTGACTGGTGGGGGTGGGAGCGGAGAAGAGGGGCACCGAAGCATCATTCCAGAGATTGGGTTGAAAAGCAGGGCAAAGAGCTGTCCTTACATGTGACCCGGCCTCCCCAAACAATCAGAAAGTGGAGGAGTGACGTCTTAATAGCAGCTTTCCTCAGCCAAGTGCCTTCCAGATGTTCCGCACTTCAGCTCCCATCAGCCCCAACCAGTGTGGCCAGAGGTCAGGTATGGTGGGAGTTGTAGTACAGAATATCTAGAGGGGAAGGTTGGTCTATAATATTGGTTTCCTGCTAGTGAGGGAGCACCCTGGAAATGGAGGACATCTTATTAATATCCATCCACTTGAAAATATGTAGGCAGAGGATGTTGGAAGCAGACAAATTCCTAAAGTAGGAAGGACAAGGCTTGCTAAGAACCGTAACAAAGTCCTGGAGCCCAGCGCTCCTAGCTGTATATCCCTATTTTAGCAAGTACAGCTAAATGCCCAGTTCTTTCCTTGTGTGTTTGCCTGAATTCAAATGGCCACATGCCATTGTTCCGCTCCTCCCACTTGGTCATTCCACAGGCAGACAGTGATTTCTAGCTATTTTAGACTTTTAATCTCTCGTTGGTCAGCTCATGCCCAATTGACAGCCACTTTACATGGGAGGGTGGGTTGGGGAAGTAAAATGCCAGGTTGTCCACCACTTCAAAAGCCCTGCTAGTTTTCCCTGGCTAGGGTGGGAGAAGGGAGTTGGCTTTACTGGAATTTTGGGAGCTTTTCTACACAAGGCATTTATTTTTGTGCCTGCTGGTGATTTAGTTTATGGCATCCCTCAGGGCCTCACTCATGCTTCCTAGACATTTGGGGACTGATTGGGGAAAATCTGGTATTTCGGGAAATGGTGAAATGAAATGTTAGTATAATCGTGTCATTCTGTGATATCACAGCACCACCAAGAGGCCATATAGCAGAGCATACGGAAAGTCAGAGAAGGGAAAAGCCTGGGAAAAGAGTATGTAGAGGATGCGGCCTCCATCCTGTAAGAATCTGGAAGCAGAAGAAATGGCTAAGTTGTGGGTTAAAAACCTCCTCTAGAAAAGCTACTACTCCAGTGGATCATTCTTTTTTTAACCCCCACCCTTGCAAGCAGTGAGAGGCTGTTCTGGAAACCACTTTAGTAACTGGAGGGATGTCAGATCTAGTGGGTTCAGAGTTGCCCCCATCCCACCCTCAGAACGCCCTGGTTTGGGGGCTACTGCTGGTGGTAGCTCTCTGTCTGCAGAGCTTTCCATGGGTGCAACAAGGGCCTCCCCAGCAGCCATGCCCCCACCACGGTACTGCTCTGCCGCCTATCATATTTGAACCCCGCCTGCTGACAGACCTCGCTTTGGAAACAGCGATCACATTCATAACAGTGCAATATCACTATCTGAATTTTTAAAAATAATGTTCCTCTCCAAATTTCTACGGCGTTTTAGATCTCAGAGATGGGTGTTCAGTCAACGATATCCCTGCATTCCTCACAGGCCAATGAGCTTTGTGGCGTCCTATGCATCTGGCGGCTTTATGCTGTGAAAGCCTGGGAAAACAGCCGTAATTTTCCCTTTAAAACTTCACTGCCTCTCAAGCAAGCAGTCAGCATTTACATCTGCATTGTTGTCTGTGCCTTTGACAGAGCTATTGATTTTAAGGATTTTCCTATTTTGGCTTAGTTTCGGCCAGACATTGGAGCAGTTTTTATTTCATCTATTTTATACAATGCCCTACAGCCATGCTTCCAAGTTGCCAACTGAAGGCCCTTGTTTTATGGCCAAGTTCTAGTTTGTGCAGGGCCTGGCGTATGATTGTCTTCTCCACACCCAGGGCACGCCCTGTTAATCCATGGTCTCTTTTCTAAAGGTGGATCGAATGTCTTTCCCATGTGGTTGCACTAAAGAAGGATGTAGCAATACAGCAGGCAGGATTGAATTCAACCCCATCCGTGTCCGGACTCACTTTTTGCACACCATCATGAAACTTGAACTGGAGAAAAACAGGGAGCAGCAAGTCCCGGCACTGAATGGCTGCCATGGGGAGATCAGCGCTCACAGCAGTTCAATGGGGCCCGCCGCCCACCCACGAGAGTATTCCGTTCCAGACACCTTTGAAATGGAAGCAGAACCTCGGGCGACAGTGATGCATCTGCAGTCAGCTGACGACTTGGACTGCCCAGGGGAGGAGGAGGAGGAAGAGGAGGAGGAGGAAGATGCTAGCAGCTTCTGCAGTGGAGTTACTGATTCCAGCACACAGAGTTTAGCGCCCAGTGAAACAGATGAAGATGAGGAGGAGGAGGAGGAAGATGAGGAGGAGGAGGAGGAAGAGGAGGAGGAAGAAAAAGTTGATGAATTTGTGGAAGGATTGGGTGCTCATACCGACATGGTACAAGCACTTCCTTCCGTCCTTTGCTATTCCGATAGCACCACCATGCATGAAAACCACTCCAAGGCCTCCTCCTACTTCGCCAACTCTTCATCGCTGTATTACCAAATAGAGAACCATGGCCCGGGCACGCCTAATCAGATGCGCGAGACTTATTCTGAAAGGGATACTGTTAAGAATGGTAACCTTTCCCTGGTGCCTTATAATCCCACCTCGGAACAGTTTATTGACTACACAAGGCAATCGGAGGAAAGTTACGGCAGCTCACTTTATCCTTCTTTGAATCCGTCTGTCATAGTGTGCTGTTCATCTTCAGAAAACGATAACGCCGGCCCATGTAGCGGTTTATACGCGGAACACCGGCCACGGCACTCCCAAGTGGAGTTTCCCTCGTACTTGAAAGGCCCTGCTCAAGATGGATTTGTTTCCGCTCTGAATGGTGGCGCTCACCTGCAGGACCATCCTGCCGAGAAGTCACTCAGCCTCTCGGAAAAGAGCAGACTGCATGACGAGTGTATCAAATCACCTGTCATGGAAACGGTACCTGTTTAAATTATTTTAGGACTGACTCCCTATGTTTAAATGCACTCTATTTGAAGTGGATTCCCTGGAACCATTTTCCCCCCCTTAACAATGTAGGTGAGGGGGATGGACTGTGGTTAATGTCTCGATTTTCGTTTTCCCTTTCAAGCTATACTGGTTGTAGCCATTGCACAAACACAGTTCGTGTACAAAGTAAAATTTAAAGGAAAAAAAATCAAATGGTCTTTTGATAGAAAATACCTAGATTTAAAAAAACAAAAGCAAAACTTTAAAAAAAAGACAGCAGCCTACCTGTCAAACTATGTGAAGCTGGACTCTCCTACACCAAGCTTCTCATTTTATTGTCGGGCCTGTGCAAGATAATGAACCGATTATACTTCATGTTTAGAGTACTAAATTTTCACACCTATTTGACGATATGGTGACTTTTTAAATGTAGATGTGATGACAGAAAACCTGAATTGTTTGGTTTTAGTGTATATTTTATTTATTATAGCTTAGTAGTCCTGTCTTGATAAAAATGAACAGCATGTTCATTGGAGCCGACCTTCTGAGCAGAACAGCACAGCCACTGCAACTTTCTTCAGGCAAGCTCTGTGTACACCTTTTGTGAGGCTGTCTAAGCTGCCATGAACTCACCCGCCCTTTGGCCTTCCCAAGGGTCTGTTCAGATTTACAGCTGTGAACCTAGGGACAGCCCAGGAATGACTGTCAGCTGGGCCAGCTTCTCTCATTTCAGTGGCATGTCTGTGGAGCTCTTGTCGGAGTTCCTGCTTAATCTTCCAAGAAAGGAGTAAAGGGCATGCAGGAGCTCCACCTTCTATACGTACATTTTTGAGAAAGATGAAACGTAGGACAATCCTGTTTTCAAATAATGACACCCACATAATCAGGAAGCTGGGCAGAGTCCAACAAAATTTAGTTGCTTCTAGTTCATGTGTTATGGAGGGCGTATCATTCCATTTCCTCTTCAGAGGGAATGCCCAATACTAAAAATGACCACTATCCAACCATCTTTCATATCATTCTCCTACTGTCTGCCACACACACTGGTCAAGCAGGGAACTTGCTTACCACCAGCCCCTTGGTCCCAGTAGCTCCTTCCCATCTTAAGAGACTCTTTATTCTGTTAATGGAAGAACTGGCTTGGGCCCTATGAGTAATATATGGTGGTGCAGTTACTGGCCCGGCACTCTTAATTCAGGGGTGGGCAGTTTTAGGAAGTCAGGGCAATTTTTGCCTCCTTGTCCCCTCACGGACTGCACTCACAGAGCTGCCGCCGTGCAGGATTCTGTGCTGGTGCGGGGCGGGTTTTCACAACAGAACCCCATGGCGGCCACATTCAGTTTGAAAATAAGCTGTACGTGGCCCGTGCAGCTGACTGACGCCCAAAATCTTTGGAAAACCAGTAGTGTTTTTATCACCATTTATTTTAGCTGAACGGGAACAGCAAGGGGCTACAGGGCATCCTCTGGGGTTTTGGGGGCCACTTGCAGACTGCATGTTGCCCACCCTGCATTAATTGCCACCCCATAGTGGCCCTCTGGTTCTTCACTAGTTCCTGCATATCGTCTCCCTGTTACCTTGAGTGCTGGTATGATATGAGAAGCAGCCACATGGAAATAGAAACCATATTACTCGGGTAATGGAAAGGCAGACCAATGCCAGTGAAATAAGTGAAGCTCCGCTTACTTGCAAGCCTCACCCCATTGCTTCCAGCGGGACGTAGCTGCAACTACCCTTTGGTGGACTGTGTCCTCTGTGCTCCCTTTTGAGCGCAAAGTTGTAGTGTGGGCATATGCATCTCTTTGTTGCCCTGCAAGCATAAAGCTAACTAATGCACTTTAGTGCCTCCATTTCCTTGTGGAGGCTATGAAAAGTCTTGGAGTCATGCCAGACTGTGGGGTATCGTCGTCGTCATCACCACCATCACCACCATCATCATCATCTTTCAAATGTACCGTGTATCTTGCAAAAGTTACCAGAAGAGATTCTGCCGACTTCTCCTAGCCATGTCCTGAATGCTTAAACAAGGCACTAGTGAGGGGCAGCACCGTTCTGTTGGTTGAGAACATGGCCTGCGCTGAGCACTTGTAAACGGATCCTAGACAGGGGGCTGTGTCCATCTGGCTGTTCATATTGGTGCAGGTGAAGCATCCACTCTCGGTGATATATAAATGTTAAAGCTTTGACTGAATGTTGACTGAATCAACAAGATGCTCTGTATGGCAACCACTCTTCACTGCTACTGACCAGCTGGTGCAGCACTGTGGGGTGCTCCTGCAGGGGCAGGCATCATCCGTTGACTTCTGTGGAGGGAGAGGCTCTGTGCCTGCAGAGGAGTGCTGGCCAGTTTCTCTTCCTGCAATAAAGTGAAGGAGGTTCCTTCCAGGCGGGGTCTAGCTCTGTGTGCCAACCAGTAAGCAATGTCCAGATCAGGTAGATCCAAATGGACTACATCAGTACGTGATCTTCCATTATGTCCCAAGGACACCGCCTCTGAGTGCAGCCCAAAGTACAAAAGTCTGACCTCTGGCTTTCTGCTCAACAGCTGAGTCAGAGTTTCACCTCATTCTGGTGCTGTTGTCCATTTAAAAAGAAAACTTTGGAATCTTTACTTTAGTAGAATTGTGAATTACGAGGTCATCCATTTTTTAAAATGTTTGTACACAACGTTTTAAATTTAAATGGTGATCTAAGGTACAGTTTATCCCTTCTGTTGTTTGGATAATTGCACCAATTTAAATAAATGCCTAATTTAGAAAAAGACTTGCTATTGAGGAAGCACCTTTGTTTGCATGACAGAGTGATAAAAATAATTAACTAAATTAATCTTTTAATAACAATATTTAAATTATAGCCCTATCAGAAAGTTGATCAAGCTTGTACATATCGTAGACAAATGCATTTTCACTTCACTTAAACCAAGTATGGTCTTAAACCAAGATGTTTCCACAGTTCAGCAAGTGAGAGCACACTTTTCTGGCTGCTCCTGGGAAGGTTGACCTGTCCCTTCTGTCAACCATTTCGTGGTCCAAGAAGGCAAATGCCTTGAAAATGCATGAAGCCTTAAGCTTCCTTAATAGTTTTGTTCCTGATTTTAACTCCCCTGCATTTTCCACCAGCCTCACAGCAAGGCCAAGAGATGCCTGGATGTCAGAAACAAGTCAAGCTTGCATCCTATCTGTAATCCTCTTGTATTTGACAGCTCTGTGGATTTCTTTGAATCTTATTTTCCTGTCTCCCTTTGGCCACCTATAGCACAACACATGGGAGAGAAAAAAGAATTAAACTCCCATGTTTCAGTTAATTAAATGCTGTACTTCTTGCATTATTAGCCTTTGGTTTTATATATGTGAAACTTACCTCTGTGTGCCAAAAGAATTCTTGTGACTAAATGACGAATAACAGTGAATGTGTTTTGTGCAAGTTTTGCATGTTATATTTTAATTTTCACAATGACTCTCTTGCACACATAATGAAGATATCCTAAATTTACATGCATAATAAGATAGTTGATGCCAATTAGGTTTGGCTGCTAGTCAGCAAGTTAGAATACAACTTTACTACTGGAAAAGCACATTCTTGGTGCCCATTCCTGTCTAAAAACAAATCATTTAACACATTATAGTCATCTGGCTGGAAGAAAAATAGTGGAAGGCACTGTCCCATACAATTAAATTGTGCCTGCATATATGACTGTGTCAAATCCAACACTGTGTGAGCAGACATCTGTCTGTGCAGTGAGACTTCCCACTGGTTTTCTCCCGTGTCTCAAAAACTCCTTCAACTATATGGGACAGTTTAGGAAGAGGACTGGAGACTCGAGATTGCACAGGGGAGGGGAAGTCTGTTCTGCTGGCAGATGGCCAGTGCTGAATAGAATCATTTGATCCTGCTCCAGGGGAAAAATGGTAGATTGGAATGTTCTATTCTGAATTCTTCCATTACGGAATCTCCCTATGATTTTGTGTTACTATAATCCAGTGGTTCTTGGTGTTATGAGAGGTTTTCTTTGGCATTAGAGGACATGTGAAGAAAGAAACCTGTGAATGACTGAATCATACCATGCTGGTGCAGCAGGATGCCCAGATTAGTTGGAGGACTCTCTAGCTAAAATAGAGAAGTTGGGTCAGTACTGCAGTCTTAATGTAATGAGAGTGAGTCACACTCTTTTCCAGGTGAATACTAACTGTTTTGTTATTCACTTGAATAGAAAAGAGTCTGGAAAAATATTGTTTAGCTTGCCCTAGTGAAAGTTTTGCAGTGGACAGGAGCTATCTGGCATTGATTATGTCGTACTTCATAAACCCTTAAGCACGAGGATTTGCACTGTGGTGACTTTTCATTTTTTTTTTACATGGCTTTTTAGATAACCCTGTAAACTCACTGTTGTAGTAGATTGCGAACAGGCAATTGCTACTGTCGGAGTCATGATCCAGTAAAGTGGGCTGGGCAGAAGGTTGATCTCCAGATGTTTGGGACTTTCCCATTGCTCCCACCTGTGTAATGGTCAGGAATATTGGAGTTTTAAGTTAAAAAAAAACATGGAGAGCTACATTTTGCCCACGGGGCCCTTTTCATATCAGAGCCCATTCACGGATGAAGTGTGAGAAAGAGCTGGTTCGGATTTTTCCGTACATTGCATCCTTCTGTCAGTGGGGTCCAGTGTGAAAGCGCTCTGCATATGGATTACTCTCCTAGATGAGAATGACTGAATTTTTCTTAAACCAGGGAATACTGTAAATCTTTGGGAAAAAAATCCAATCCAAATAATAATTACTTTTCCTTTGTTTAAACATTTCCTTTAGTCTACCTGTCAGTTTGCACAGGAAATAGGATCATGTTTAAAGCAGGCCCTGAAGGAGAATATTGGGAGTGGGGGGAACAACATTTTACAGTCAGACTGAATGCAATTTATCTTGCTTGACAGTGATTGGGAAGTGTGGGTTGGAACTGGGAGGCACAAATTGCACAGCATTGCTGAGTACTTTCTGTTCAGACTTCTT